TTTTTTTTTTTTTTTTTTTTTTTTGCACAATGGTAATTGACAGGTAATGAAGCTATTTGTTAAAATATTTGCTTTTTTTTTAAGTAAAAAAAGAAAAATCAGAACAGTGCTACTTTGAAGAGTTATTTTATATGCAGATTCTGCCTTGTTTCATAGTGTGAGGGTTGAAGATGGAGAAACACCTAAGGGTCTCTTATCTTTCATTTTATTTTGTTCAGTTTATTATTGTTATTTTTGCGCTGCTAAGAAGCTAAGATCATTCATCTTTATTCACATTAACAGTACCTAGCTGTAATGTTCACAGAGTGTGCTGCTATTTTATAAACATTTTTATAATATATTATTTTACCGCTTAAATTCAAGTCCTGAAGTAGATGGTTAAGACACGAGTTCTTTGTACTGGAAAAGCCCTTCCATAGTTTGTTTTCTTCTGGTAGCGTATTCGTGGTTTTTCTTAGTTTTTTTCTTTTTGGTTCTTCTGTTTTTGTTTTTCCCTCTGATCACATTCTTCAGAGACTGTTCTTTACCTCAGGTTTACTGGACAGAATCAATACTACAGAGGGCAGTGGTTCACAGTCTCGTTTTCCTGATACCTCACAGACATCCGTTCTACTTAGGAGCCCATCAGCGGGAGGGCAGAGGTGGGGAGCTGGGCACTCCTGGCCTGGGAGGCTGCACCCTGGCTCCCTCAGTCATGAAGGCCCTAGGCTCACGCCATGATGAAAAGCACACTGGGCCAAGGTGCCTCCCTCCCCAAATGCACATGGCAGAGTTTCCCGCTGATGCCCACAGCCCAGGGGTTGGAAGCCGTGCTGCCCACAGGGGCCCCAGGTATCAAAGCCGTGAGAAGAGCTGGGCAGGCCGGAGGGACAGTGCTGTCCTGTGGCCTGTAGTCCGGGGCTCTGCAGTGTTTGGGCCCCTTTGTCCTTGCAGCCCCTGCCTGGGTTAGGGCCCCTGAGTGTGGAGCGCTGGCGTTGCTCTGCTGTCAGGTCTCCAGCCCAGGTGGAGGCAGGACAGAGCGGAGGGTCAAGGGAGTGGCAAGAGCCTGGGAGCAGGCACTGAGCTGGTCCCAGAGGCGCAGGAGAGCTCGGCGCCACCCTAAACTGCAGAGTGGTTTCTGGTGGGTGACAGGCACGTTTAGGAGGGGAGAAAAGAGCAGCCAGGGTGAGCTAGTTTCTCACCCAGGCTCTGCCCAGGGAGCCCCAGAACCAGGAAGGCCCAAACCTGACCTCGGGAGAACATGGTGCCCGTTACTGAGCGGTGGTCAGCCCCTGAGCTTGGCTAGGCACTGCGGACACAGGGAGCTGATGGAGGAGAACAGGGGCCAGGTGCTGCAGGCCATGGCTATCCACTGTGCCCAGGGCCAGGCCTGGACCCTTCTCACTCTTCCTCTTTACTGTGATGATAGCTATGGGATTGCCTGGCTTTGCTGCCTGCTCCTTGTTTGTACAGGAGAAGGAAGCCCAGGTCCCTTTGTGGCGAGCACCTCTGCCCTGGCCTCTTTGGTAAGAGCTTTCATCCCGGGGGCTCCATTCTCCCTATGGTCTCGGACTCGCTCTTCTGTTTTCTTCCGTTGCTCCCTTCCCCTCCTTACCTCCCACAAAAGTGTTTCCAGTTGTATTCTGGTCTCCTGTCTTCTTGTCTCTTTCTTTTTTATTTCCTCCCCTTGTTTTTCTCCATTAAGCGGGGCTGAGTTGTTCCCCCAGCCTGCCAAATTTAGTCCTTCCCCTATTTTGACCAAATCCTTGGGGAAAGAAATCCTAGTATGCCAAAAATACATGCTCAGCATAAGAAAATTCCTTGTAGATTCAGAACAGCCAGGAGGCCAGCAGGGACACCTGAGGGGCAGTTCCCTCAGCCACGCCTCGGTGGGTGGCTTTGCAAGCCCCCCCCCACGTGTGTGTCCACTTACCCAGGAGCCTAGCTCGCGCTGCCTCTGATCGCTCAGGGCACGGCTGGCAGGAGGGCGCCTTCTCGGCAGGTTGGCAGCTTTCCTGCCATTTGGGCTCCCGCAGAGGGTCCTGGGGGTATGGGGCTGACAGCGAAGATCAGAGGACTTTCCAAGTGGGCAGGGGATTTTCCTTTCCGTGGACCATGCGACAAGGCTGGGAAAAGAAATAGACTTGCACCTTATGTCCTGTAAATACTGATGTTGTAGTTGAAGAAGGTAGTACTGGTAGCGTGGGAACTGGAGGGAGGAGGAAGTCTGAGTAAGCCAGCTGACTTTGGAGCAAAAAGTCTCCTCTCTATCTTCGAGACAGACTAACCTGGGGAGTAGCTTTACGGGGAGATTAATGCCAAGACAGTGATGTCCCCTGAAGCCAGCAGACCTTCTGCTAGACCTCACGCAGTGTCTGTTGGTGGAGACTCAGAGCAGCTTCTGAGTGCTGAGGGTGCAGCCACCGCGGCCTACAGTCACGTAGCAGACCTGGGAGGGGCTCACTGCTTCCTCACCCTACGTGACTTCTTCCTCCTGGGCTCCTGGTGACCCAGGCGGTCACTGCAGCCAGAACTGTTCTGTGTTGGTGGTCTCTGCTTTTTAACCCTGGCTGGGCCCATCCGACCCTGTTCTTGGCTCGGGTTTCACAGCCATCAGCAGATGGGTGTGTGCGCCTGTGGCCACAGCCTCCGAGCCTCTGCCTGCAGCCCACGCCAGGGAAGAAGTGCCTTACTGACCATAGCTGTAACAGTGTCCGTTGTGTTCCGACAGGTGCCTGTCCTTGGAAAAGAAAGCTTTCCCTTGTTTTTAATTGGTTGTAGTTCTGCTGGCCACTCAGACATCCTGGCAAATCACCAGGCCGTTGGATCCCCATTGCATTCATTCCCCTTGTATCACGTACCTCAGTGTATTCATTCTCTCTCTCTCTCTTTCTCTCTCTCTCTCTCTCTCTCTCTCTCTCTCTCTCTCTTTCTGAGTTTCTTGTTTTGGGGTTTTTTCTTCCTTCCTTTTAAATTTGCTTTAAAACAAGTGTGATGCCACCTCGAGTCAATGTTACTCTCTCACAGTGTACTCTATAAGCGGGGTGGGTGTGTGTTTGGTTGGGATGCTAGGAAGTGCTAAAGTAGCATGATCGGTGCGAGCAGAAGGGTTTAGGAAGTGTGGAAAATGTTGTATTGGCTTTGATGGCGACAAGATGTAGTCAGCTGCCTTTGAAGAGGTTTTACCTGGTCCGTGTTGTGTCATTTTCAAAAGTAATAACCTGTTCTGACGAGTGAAGATGGATTTGAAGATGGATTTGAAAAGGGTGTTGAATGCAATTAGGTTATGCTATTTGGACAATAAACTCACCTTGACCTAACTTCTCTGGCCACTGTTGACTTATTTGCAGTCTCACAGCCTTCGCAGCGGGAGTGCCTGTCTCATGACTGGCAGTGCTGGACAGTGGGGTACAGTACAGCGAGGTCATGCTCGTCTGTGTTAGCACAGTAGAAGGAATCGTTGGGCTGGGATGTGGCTCCGGGGGCAGAGCCTGCCTAGCAGGCATGGGGCCCTGAGTTTGATTCCTGGTACCAGAAAAGAAAAAAAGACCAAAAACATGGAAGTGATCATAACTATTTCTCCCTATTTGGGCCACGTGGGCAACCAGATTATAAAGCAGAAGCCTCAGTCCACTCTCTCAGGTGAGTGAATCTGGGCCTCCGATGACAATAACTCTGGTTATTCCAGGGCTGTGGGTCAGCACTTCCTGTCTTAGGTGCTAGAAGCCCACAGTCCCTTGTCCGGGGTCCAGGCAGTGTCTGGGGGATCCTGCCCACTGGTTCTGGGGCTCCCACCTCATTCCTGCTTCTCTTGGTGTCCTTCGGGTGAGACCTGGGCCCTGACTGCCTGGTGGGAAGCTGGGAAGGCAGACTGGCAGAGGATGCGCCCCTTCACACTCTAAATGTGTTGCATGGCCCCAGGTCCGGCTGCTCTTGGACTCGGGTTTGCCTTTTCAGGGTTACTGTACAAATTCATTTTCCCTTTAGTTCCCTGTCTCTTTCAAAGTGTGGAAGGCTGTTTCAAGTTTAATTCTTTTTTTAAAGTTCTATGTAAGTAAAATTTGCCTCTATGTAATTTACGAAGTGTGTGATTCAGGTGATTTTAGCATATTGACAGAACTGTACAAACATGACCATGATCAAATTTAATCCTTTTTGTTATTCTAGAATAAAACACTACCCATTAGCTATTCCCTCTGCATCTCTACCCCACTAAATCCTGGCAACCACTGGGCTGTATCTTCATAGTTTTCCTGTTCTGTCTGGTTCAGCTCTGACCCTTTTGCAGGCAGTAGGCTGAAGCTGGTCACCAGTCCCGGAGAAGTTGGGTTTAGATGTTCCCTGTTGGGCTCAAGCGACTCTGCGCAGCCCAGTCTCACCCGTCTACCTACTGACCTTGGGAAGGCCCAGCCTTCAGGACCTGGAAATCCTGGGTGTGTGTCTGTGAAGAGAAGGTGTGCACCCCCTAGTGAGTGCTTTTGTGTTTCTTATGACTTTCCAGAGACCTGGAAACTTAGTCTACGGAGGTACCAGCGAAATGGAGATTTCCAGTTGGTAGCAGCGATGTCCTTGGCATTTTGTCATGCCAGTACTCAGACACTGAGCATTTCACCACATAATTTTCCCTCCACTCCCTGAGCAGTGACAGTATCGATACACTGTGAGCTGTGGGTGTGAGGGCATAGGGTGTCCGGCAGGGCCCAGCAGCTGTAGTCGGCACACAACCCACCCTGGCTGCCGCAGGTCTGTGAGGAGATGGAGCCTGGGCAGTTGTGGAGGGACAGCAGCAAATGCCAGCGAGCTGGGGCCTGGACCTTTGTGAGAGACTGGACCGGTTTCTTCCACCACAGGTTCAGGAAAATAAGTTTATTCAGGTGTCTACGTCT